AATTCATTTTACTATTCAGTTAATAGTGCCAGAACTAAACAGAAAGAAGTTTACCAGTAATTGTCTTCCTTGAGTTTTCTAAGATCTTTAATGATCATATAAAAGTTTATAATAAAAAAAAATACAGTTAACATTTACCTGTCAGTCATCAACAAAAGCAATAACTTTATAAAAAGTTCTTTAAATAAGCAAAATACTTAAAGATTATTTATCAGTATCAGATTAAGTATCTAGGATAATAATTGTGTCTATAGCTAAGGTCCATAATAAAGATTTGAGCGAAAGTAGTAATTTTTACATATATGAATTAAGTCATTTTAGTCAGAAATAGATACTTATGAAGACAACCTTTTATGTCGATAGTATATAATTTTTAAATTTATAAGCATTATACATTTAACAAGATTTATAAACGTGCATAATACATGCGTGTTGTGTGCATCTGTGCGTATGTGTCAGTCTACTGGGTGGCTCTATACTTCAGAATACAGACTGTTTATGAAATATGTTCCTATCATAATATATTGATTGTGTTACCCTCCTACCAACTCCAAACAATACGTACTGTGAGTACAGCATTCTCAGAGCTATGAAAAGTAAGCATGCTCTTATTTCAATGTCAAAGTAGCCAATAATGTGTCATGATAAATAACAGGTGTCTGAGCCAAAAATACTGAACACATACTGATGGCTTCATTATAAACCAAAGCGGTAGTAAACACTGTATCAATGATTAAGTATTCCTGACAAAAAAAAACAAAAACCCACTATCGGACTAAATAATTATACATTTATTTTTAAAATTCAATAAGTAACACTTTTACATTTCTATGTTTAAGTGAAATGAAGGTTTTAGAACTGGGGAAATGTTTCAGTGGAAAAGAATCCATTTAACACTAGGTGATTTCAAGCTTTCCACTTCCTTTTATAATTAGAACAGCTCCTTAATTTATTGTCCAATAAACACTTTCGAAAGAGAGAAAAGTGTTACTAATAATAAAGAGTGGAAGATGGCAGGCATAAACTAAGACTAGCTCAGCAAACCCGAACTTATGGTGAACTTACCATTAAAAATTCTTTAGTCTACTAAGTTTTTTTTTTACTCTTACATTTAATATGAAAGTCTGCACAAACGTAGGAAAGGAGATAAAGACTGTCTATAATATCTAGTCTGAATAAATCAAGTTCTATTATGCCCCTGTATGGCCAACCAGCACAGAAAATTCACTCACACACGACAAAGAAATAATTACATCAGGAAGAAAATAAATATTTCTTCATGGTACAAGAAAGATGACTATAAATCAGTAAATGAGAAAACTTGGGAGGTATTAAGCACATTTTCCCAGAAATTTTATCACAAAAGATAGTCATCATCTTTTGAATAATGCCCAAAGCAATTGGTTACTCAATGCAGTGAACTGTGTAAGAAATACACCTCTAGCATCCCAATATTTATGTTTCCTTCCAAAGACAAGATTGCAAAACTTAGATCTCACAATGAATTTAATACTTGAGGACTTTTCTGCTGGCAATAAAAGCAATTATCTTTGTATTCAGATTAATTTATTTTGGGGGAAATGAGTTTACAGTAAGAAAACTTGATAACAGGAGTTTAAGTTAAACTGGAATTTCATCAAACCCTACCAAGTGGATTGCCACAGGACACAGACACTGTGTGAATTTTTTTTTCTTGCTGGACCTCCTGTTGTTTCACTTTAACTGTAAAAGGACATAGGATATCCTGCCACCTCTTTTATGCCCTAAAATGGTACTCAACATCCACGGTGATCAGAGAATAAGTTAAAAACTTTCAGTTTGAAACATAAGGGTTGTACTCTATGGTTTTCCAACAAAAAGTTTGCCTAAAATATTCTAATGATTTTCACTCACAAGTAAATTTCAATTATTGATTAGGTAGTAAAACGCTTTAACAATCTGTATTCATCTCCAGTTTAGTGATTTACCATACATAAAATATTATTGGTGTCTTTAAAACCTTTGCTCCTTTTCAAGTTGAATCTGGAAACGTTTTTGGAGCAATTATTTTGGGAGATTTCCATCTGAATCTTTTATTGCTCTTGTGTCATAGAAGTAAACCGCTCATCATCTGACAACCTGATGGAATCTGGATAAGATGGGGGACCTAGAAAAAGTCTCAAGAAAACTGCTTGAAAGGGTCCTCTTTTGACAATACGTTGTCTACAACGGATACATCATACTATGCTAATAATTTCTCCTAGAAAGCAATTGAGAAGAAAATATAACCTAATTGTCCATACCCCTGATGTTATTTTTTTTAAATATATTTTATTGATTTTTTTACAGAGAGGAAGGGAGAGAGATAGAGAGCTAGAAATGTCGGTGAGAGAGAAACACCGACCAGCTGCCTCCTGCACACCCCCCACCGGGGATGTGCCCGCAACCAATGTACATGCCCCTGACCGAAATCGAACCTGGGGCCCTTCAGTCCGCAGACCGAGGCTCTACCACTGAGCCAAACCGGTTTCGGCCCCCTGATGTTATTTTCTATCAGTCTAAAGATGGAATGAATGTCAAAATACAAATACTGAATATTCCATCTCGACTAGCCCAACCAACGAGAACTATTCATGTAGCAATAACCAGGCTGTTCTTTCCAGAGGTGATACGTACTTATGAAATGGATGCTTCGGATCTCAAAAGCATCATGTCCAGTCCGTGAAGTTGAAAGTCTCATTAATTTGGAAAAAATTTTAAGCTGTAAGATAAACATCTTCTGATGACATACTATGTCATTATTCTTCCTTTTTTTTTTTCTTCAAGGATGGTTTTGTTTTAAGTCTAAATCTTACTTTCTGATTCTATGCTAACTTGAAATGCTGATACTTAGGTTTTGGGTGTTTTTTTTCTGTGTGTTTTTTTTTCATCTAAGCAGAATAATAATTTTAAAAAGACCATTGTGTCTGACCTGAACACAAAGGAGCCAAAACATTAAAATATGTGGAGGGAGGCTTTATCAACTGTACGTTCTTATAAATTTATTTTTATTCTTCATACTTCTCAAACAATAGCTATTTTTAAATTGGTTTTGACTTACGATATAAGTAAATCAAGTACTTGATTAATGATGAAGATCAATAGATCGACATGTGAAAGAAGAGTCATATGTTTTTAGAAGACCAAGAAGTGAAGAACTTAGGAAGTGGTTCCCCCCCAAAAAAAAACCAGAATAAATTATTTATTAATTGTTTCAGATAATTTAGGTTTAAAAAAAAGTTAAGACTGTTCTTATAGAAACCCTTAGAAACTCCACAATTTAATATTTAATAACCGCAGCATAAAATTCCAGATTGTTACTAATGAGAGAATTGCAAAGATAAGCATGACAACTGTGCTAAAAGAAACTTGTGGCTAAAGCAACTGTGTAGGAATAGGGTGCACATAATTCCCCCCAAAAATAGATATTCTCTTATTTTAAACCTAGTAACATTTACTTTAAAATTAATTCCATACTATGCACAATTCCTAAAATAAATATATACCCAGCCCTAATATTAATATTTTTAAACATATAAATTCTTGGCATTAAAAATAAGAGAGAAATAAAATATGGAAATATTTATAAAGGATTGAGTACATATCCTAAAACTCTAGTAACTTTGGGTCAAGGAATTTTTAAGAAAGCCATACTTAAACCAATACAGGTTAATTTATCATAAATCATACACTTAAATATTATATTGCTAAGAAAACCCACTATCTTTCTATCTGAAACTATAGATAACCTAGCATAGCATTTCACATGCTGTTATATATTTTACATGAGTCTGAAAATAAAATATTAAAAAACAGAATTAGTGAACAGAACTGTACTGAGGAAAGATGTGAAATTTATTAAAAGGAGACATGCTGCTCCATATTCAATGGAAAGGTCATAGATATATTTATCATCGGTAAATATTTTAAATGCCTGGACATTGAGAAAGCCTCCTTTACATTTGTAAAATCAAAACATATACTGCTAGTAGGTATTTCTTCATCTCTAAAACAGGCTGTCTCACATTGTTCAAAGACCCTAAAAGGAAAAGATCTGCAAAACCACTCAATATTCTGTGCACTATTAGTTTTCCCTCGATTTCCAGAAGGTTTCAACGCATTATCATTTCTTTCTCAGTCTTTCCCCACACGTATTTAGTTAAAATGGGCTTTCTTTTTTTCTCCCCACTATGTTAGGCATTTAACATTAGAAATTTTCAAAAGACAAGCAACTTAAAGGAGGGGGAAACTGGATGACAAAACTGCGTTTTAAAAGCATTCTTCAATAGGCTAGCTCTTTAGCCATAAGCTAGAGAAACCATCTCAAACATATGTTCAGAATTTAACAACCTTCACCACACACACATACACACACACACACACACACACACACACACACACACACACAGAGATCAGGTTGAAAAGCAATAGAATTTATAACAAAGCATCTTTCCAAACTAGCCAATCTAATACAAATCATTACTAGCAGCTCCATAACAGATCTGTTTGAAAGTGATTATTGATCCCTGCAAAGAGAAATATCTCAGAGCCAGAAAACATCCTCCGCATGTTTTACAAAGAGCATGCATAACTGCTAATTCACATGTCCCAGCAAATCACGCATGATTCTACAGCCCCATCCCCATAGGTGCAATATAATAACTGCCATGATCGCAACGAGAAAGATGTCAGGCATTTTAAGTTAATCCTTTTATTTCTTAGAAAATGAAATCATGAAGCAGCCTGCATGCTTCAGAGGTCAACCTAGTTACATGTAAGATGCCTTCTGTGCTTTGAAGTAAGCTTGTTTTCTTTCTTAAAAATCAAGGAAGAGCACTACATAACATTGCATATTTCAGATAAAAAGACAACACCCTTAGGATGCTGACATTTTAATACGGAACAGTTTTTACTGACATATAAGGTTAGTATTCTGAAAATACCAATACTAAAAAGAAAAATAAGAGTTTAGCTTTACTCACCGTGTATTATTATTATTCAGCGTTTGTCCAAAAAGCTCATTTTGCAAAATATTTGGTGGGGATGAAAAAACCCCATGAAAATGAGATAAAACAGAATTGCAGACCTGGCGCAATGTCTCAAATTGCATTTTCGTTCTCTTTTCTCTCTCCCTCTCTCCCTCTCTCCTCTCTCTCTCTCTTCTCTTATTTTTCCTTACCACCTGTCTTTAAAAGTCATCTATTTGCATACGCTGTCGAATAAAAACATGCCAGTCAAGTTCCATATTTCTCCTGAGCTCTGTGAAAGCTGTGCTTAGATGAGCAGAGGCTGGTCGCTAATTGTACAGTCATTATTATTCTTCTAATTCAGTCGGAGAAGATTCCGTGCCGGAGCAGCTTTTGGCTTTCTCCTGACTGTCGCAAGAATGCTAAGCAGCAGTGAGCTTTTTGGGCTTCCCCAGCCGAAGTGTGAAGCTGGGCTGCTTTCATGCACTCTACTCATATTTCTCTCAGCCTATTAAAATCACGCAACGAAGAAATGCTGTCGTCAGGACTTTCAGCACATCTGGCTGCCGGCAATACGGTCTAAGCAATAAAAATGGGGGCGAGGTGGCGTCTCAAGTGCTACCACCAGGTAGAAGGAACAGAAATTTATGCATCCTCCGACCCTCCCCTCCGTTCCTGAAAGAGAAATAACTCCGGCCCCAGAGCATGTGGGTCTCCTCAGTGTTCAGGCTGCTGCAGAGAGCAAGAGCGTTCTGAAAATAAGTGGCATCTCCTTTGCTGTCGTGAAGCAATAAAAAGATGATCGTCCTGAGAGCTTTAACTCCCTCTCTTCCCTCCCATACACGTACCACGATCGGTACATGACACAACGATAAATATTCTATAACATTTACAATGCCATACTTCTTCTCAAGAAACGTGTGGGTGTCGTCTTCATTTCTCGTTTAATTTAAAAATGTCTCCATGTATGTATTTTTTTTTTTCTAAGAAAAGTCAATAGTGTCCCTTTTTTAAAGGCTATATGTAGTGACTACCTGATTATTCATGTAGTTTTCTTGGGGAGGTGGGAGAGAGAACCCTATCAATTGAAAATCACTTAAGCCGCACACATAAATATCAACATTCCCACAGTTCAAAAAAAAACACAGCTAATGCCAGGCAGACTGGATGCCATTATTCGCTTATTTCAGTAACGATGGCCAAAGCTTCCTTCAGAAAAGGGTGTTTGCTGGAGGCTCCAATAGTCTAAGAAGACCCCAGATGACCCTCCCTTCTCAATGAGCAGTTCTGGTTTAGATAAAATCTTGGGTTATTCTATATCCAGGTGGATCCATCTTTCTACTAAAAAGAAAATGTTCTAGAAGTGTGTAATCCAAATTTTAAAAATCAGCACACGAGTAAGGATGAATGTTTCTTGATCTTGAGTTGCTCCTGAACCATCTCATTTATTTCACGGGTGCATCCCTTTTAAACCTTTCTCTCTTACCTCAACGTTCAGCCCCAACTCCCTCTCTCCCTTCTGTACACACACCGCTATCTGTAAATAGGCATGTAAGTACACTGAGGAGTTTTTTTTTTTTAATTGGTGAATTCTTCTTTGACATGAATAAACATGTCAGGGGGAAAAAAACAATACAAAAGAAGCATGGGATAATACACATTTTTAAATGACACACAAATAAATATTCTATAACATAAAATTTTAAACAACTAAATTTTTTGTAAACCAAGTTGTCCAATTATGGGTTTGTCCTCAATTAAAAGTGGTCCTATTTTGCTTATTTTTTAAGCAATAACTTTTATAGGTGCACACTAATCTTTGTGAAATATATATACTCACATAAAGTATTTTTTTTATTTACAAAGTACTTCTAAATCTATTTTTTAATATCCAGAAAACATGAGTGGGTGGTAACGTTGCTATAATTTTTTAAAATTTGTTTTAAATTTTTATTGAATGTATTGGTTAATGAAATTATATAGGTTTTATGTGTACAATTCTATAACACATCATCCGCATGTGATACTGAGTGTTCACCACCCAGAGTCATCTCCTTCCATCACCACTCATCTTCCTCCCAACTCCTCCTCTCCCCCCCCCCCACCCCGCCCACTTCCCTCTGTTAATCACCATACTGTTGTCTGTGTCTACAAGTTTTTTTTGTGGTTTCTTTTTGCTTAATCCCTTCATCTTTTTCACTCTCCTCTGACAGCTGTTGGTTTATTTGCTGTATCTATGAGTCTGTTTCTATTTTGTTTGTTTATGTTGTTCATTAGATTTCACATGTAAGTAAAATCATATTGAAGCTGTAGGGAACTGGAGATACACAGTAAAATATTTGAATGAAGGCCTTCAACGGTGGACTCCATTTCCAATGCTCCTTCCCTATCTTTCTCTCTTCTATATACATACACACATGGGCACACACATACACACACAAATACACACATCTACTTTTGAACAGACCAGTCTCTATAGATGAATTGAAAAACCACTTGCCAATGATCAATCAAGGATATTTCGGTTAGAGCAAACATCTCAAAATGTCACACATTTCTGAAACATCAATTTCTATAAATTCAAACACACATGTTTAAAATTCCTAATTTCAAAGCTCATACTACCTGTGATAAAACATATAAATATATGTGTGTTGCCATCCCCCATCTCCCTGTCCCCCCTCTCCCCTCCCTGGGTAGCTTCAATTTCTATAAATAATCAAAAGCCCTTTGGAAGCAAGTCTATTAAATCAGAGGTGGATTACACGGCAAAACATTCTTTGTTTTTAAAGAGAAAATTTCTTTTGTGCTTCAACATGGGATCTGAAGGCAAGGTCAGAAGTAGTTTCCAAAACGGTCTACGAAGGGAAACCTCCCTGGAATGAGCATTGAAGTAACTCCTTGGGAAGAGCAAACGGCGTAGCTACGGCCCTTCTCTGGGTCCCACCGCACAGCAGGCTCTCTGGCCAGCCTCCTCTGCGGACCCTCAGCCCGCCTCAGTGCCTTCTCCCGCTCTCACCTGCCCCTCTTCATCCCTAAGGGCTCCAATGCCCCCTTCTTCCTCCCTCCCTTCCCTCCTTCCTTCCTCCCTCCCTTCCCTCCTTCCTTCCCTCCTTCCTTCCTTCCTTCCTTCCTTCCTTCCTTCCTTCCTTCCTTCCTTCCTTCCTTCCTTCCTTCCTTCCCTCCTTCCTTCCCTCCTTCCTTCCTTCCTTCCTTTCTTTCTCCCTAATATATTTTATTGATTTTTTTACAGAGAGGAAGGGAGAGAGAGAGCTAGAAACGTCGATGAGAGAGAAACATCGACCAGCTGCCTCCTGCACAGCCCCCACTGGGGATGTGCCAACCAATGTACATGCTCTTGACCAGAATCGAACCTGGGAACTTTCAGTCCGCAGACCGATGCTCTACCACTGAGCCAAACCGGTTTCGGCTCTTTCTTTCTTTTTAATGCTTAATTAAAAGGTTTCGTGTTTTTTTTAATTTCTTTATTGATTAAGGTATCATATATTTGTCCTCATCCCCCCATTCCCATCCCAAACCTCTCCCCTCGTATGCCCCCACCCTCCTGCTGGCCATGAGCACTGGTTAGGCTTATATGCATGCATACAAGTCCTTTGGTTGATCTCTCCCCATTTCCCCACCCAAATGTCATTTTCTTGAGAAAACTTAAATTTTATGGTTTTAAAGACGCCTAGCTTTATTTTGAATTTTTAAGAGTAACAAATCTTTTCTATTATAATTCTCCATACACGTAAACATAGCTGATCAATTAATGAAACCATGTGGTTATATAATATGTATAATCTATGTATAACAAAAACCATAAAATGCTGAAGAAATTTTTCATCTTATTAAAATATAGATCTGTAGCGTTACCTACATAATTGAAATAACTGCACTACTCTTCTATTGCATTGTTCTTGTTCCACTCTCTGTAGCATCTGACTCATTAAAATCTTGGTTTTAGTCCTAGCCAGTTTGGCTAGAGAGTCAGCCTTTGGACTGAAAGGTCACAGGTTTGATTCTGGTCAAGGGCACATGACCTGCCGGGTTACAGGCTCGATTCCTAGCATGGGGTGTTCAGGAGGCAGCCAATCAATGATTCTCTTTCTCTCTCTCTCTCTCTCTCTCTCTCTCTCTCTCTCTCTCTCTCTCTCTCTCTCTCTCCCTCTCCCTCTCCCTCTCCCTCTCCCTCTCCCTCTCCCTCTCCCTCTCCCTCTCCCTCCCTTCTCCTTCTCTCTCTCTCCCCTCCTCTCTGAAATAAATCAAAATATATATATATATTTTTTTTTTTAATCTTGGATTTAGAAGAATTATGGTCCAGGTGAATGATTACATATTTTGCAAATGAAAGTCTGGCATTATAATATTTTCCTGAGCCAAAACCACAGACCCATTCATCTCAGGGATAACAAATAAGCAAAGAAATAAAAGGCAGGTGACAACATTTCCAAAATGGATGAGGTAAGGGCATTCAATAAAGATACCTGTATCCATTAGCAATGGTGTATAGCCGCTTCAATTCAGTGTGGGCCGCATAGGACATCCAGGCACAGAAGGAAGACTAGCCCAGACCCAAAGAAGCCCACTATAAAGCTAAAGACTTAAAATAAAAATCACAAAAGATTAGTACAAAATACCTACAGCAGCTTTCATAACACTTTTTTTTCACAATTTTTATTTAAAATGTTTAATGTTGACATTATTGCAGGTATCCCCCTCTTCTCCCATTGGATGCAAGAGTTAGGTTATTGAGTGCCAAGTCTAGATTTAAGCTCAAGAACAAAAATGTCCAGAGTGACTATCTGACACACAGAGATTGCATGGTTTAGAGGAAAGAGAACCGAGATCTCTGAAGACACAATTTAAGTCTCTCCAGTCTCGCGACTGCGAGTTCTGAGCATGTGCTCCCTTGATTACTATCAAGAGAGTCACTGAAAGCAACACTATAATTTCAGGGAGCTATATGAATATGAATAAGATCCAACTCCATCTCTAATGGCTACATTCACCAAGAACCACAGCATAAGCGATGCTTATGGCCTTGAGACGCCAAGCACTCACACCTACGCTTGCAAAATGTCCTCACGAGGCACCTCCATGCCTAATAACTTCCAAGTGTCCCCGGTTTCTTCAGCAAAGGAATACAGACTGCACATTGTTATCTTAAGAAAATTGGAAGTAGTCATCATTGGCGCCATTGTGAACGTGTTTAGCAAAATATGGGAACAATAAAATACTATGTAATAATACTGGCCACCAAGAGTTCCCATCTGCAATTTCTTTGAAGCAATTTCCTTCTAGTCATTACAAATGAAAAAGTGGGAAAATGAAGACTCTAAAAACATAGCAAAATATTATCTCACTATATGTGGAGGCAGGGAGATCAATTGGAAAGCTAACGCAGTAGTAAAAGAAAGACGTTGGTTGGCTTGGTGATCACAATAAGATGGAGATAAAGGAGCACTAACAAAGTAGATGTTGAATCAACAAGACATAATGATTGATTTGCCGCAGGGGTGGGGGGGCGGGGATGGAGGTCAAGAGAGAAGTCAAAAATGGCTCTCAGATTTCTCTCTTAAGTAACCAAGCATATAGTCTTAAAACCT